GTAACCTTTCATAAGTATGCACATAACTAGGTGCTCACATCTTGCATATTTATTATATTAATTCATTTAAGAAGTGAAATAATACATATAAAACTCAGCTCCTTCTTTAATTTTATTTCCCTCCTTCCCTCTTTAGTTGTAACCACTATTCTGAAATCAATGTGCATTTTTATATGTTTGTACCTACTTATTACAATAAACAACATGACACATTACTTCAATGTTTTTATGACTATGGTATGCTTACCACCTATTACTTACCATAACCATTTTCAGCCTGCTTTTCCTACTCAGTCTTATAATTTTGATATCTGTTATGCATATCTAGCATGATATTTCATGTATAATGAATCATTGGCTTGAATAACCTATGGCTTGGCAGTTACAAGGTTTCCACTTTTTGCTACTGCCCAAAAGATACAATAAACAACTGTGAGCTTGTCTCCTTGTGTGGATGTGCAAGAGCTTTCAGAATTACTGAAGAGTAGAGTATGTGTATCTTCGACTAGATCAGTATGAAAAGTGGTATGGTTTGGTAGATTGTTTCTCTTCAATTTCTCACCTATTTTATTCTAAGTCCTGTTGGATACAATAAGGATACAATGGCAAACCTAAAGTACAGCCTTTCTCCTCATGAAAACCAATATGACAGAATCAAATAACCACCTGTGTGACTAGCTCTGAGCAATAATAAAGAGCACAGGAAAATAGGTTACACAGAGACCTGACTCAGTCTGGTTAAGTAGAATTAGCTTAAGTTTTATCATGAAGCTGAGATGCTAAATGATCATGAATTAGCTAGGTAAAAGCATTATGCACAGAAGGAATACTGTAGGGAACTTATAGAGTGGTCTTGGTTAAGCTACTAGGTTCTGGACATACACTGAACCAAGATTTTCAAACAATCCTTGAATGGGGAGGGAGATATTTTTTATGAAATATGGGACAAAGATCCATTTGGCCTAAACAGAAATTAAGGACACAGTTGATGGAACTGAGATGGCTCCTGCAATTTGAAAGTCTATACATAGGGACGTGGGGTTGGTGTGCAGTCCAAGAGATTTATAGATAAACATTGTATCTATAGTATGTTATTATATGTTACATTCTAGGAAACACAAACTTTCAGGAACAGAGTGTAGAAAGACATCCTTTTGAAAAGCTTTTGATTAACAGAGAAAGGAATGATGTTTTTTCAGAAAAGTAACTGAAAATGTCACTTTCAGCTTCATGGACATGGAGGATTTACAACAGGTAGCACACTACTCAGAGAGCAACAAAAAGAACAAACTTGGAGACTGTCAACTTACAGCTTTTCCACAATGAGCAGCAAGGTATTCTTGAGGGCTACTTTAACATCCTTGTTCCTTAAGGTGTAGATGAGAGGGTTCAAGGCAGGACTCACAGTGGAATACAGTACAGCCAGAACCTTGCCAATCAATGGGGAGTAGCTGGAGTTAGGACTCAGGTAGGCATAGATAACAGTGGAGTCGTACATGGTGACCACCATAAGATGGGAGGAGCAGGTGGAGAAGGCACGCCGCTTACCCTCAGCTGTGCGAATCTTTAGTATGGTTGCAATGATGAAACCATAGGACACCACAGTAAGCAAGAAGTTCACGTCAGCAAAGAATATATCAGCCACAATTGCCATGACATCATTCACATATGTGGAAGAACAGGAGACCAGCAGCAGAGGAGGGATCTCACAGAAAAAGTGATTGAGCACGTTGGGCCCACAGAACTTTAACTGTAACATCAGGCAGGTATTGACCACTGCACCGAACATGCTGATACCCCATGTGGCTCCAGCTAGCAATGCACACACCCTGGGGCTCATCATGGAGCCATAGTGCAATGGCTGGCAGATGGCCACATAGCGGTCATAAGCCATGGCTGTGAAAAGCAACAGTTCTGCTGCTACAGACCATGTCAAGAAGTACATCTGGGTCATGCAGGCCCTGTAGGAGATGCTTTTTTCCTTAGCCACCAGGGTCTCCAGCAGTTTGGGTACCACAGTGCATGCACAGACAACATCCAATATAGCTAAGTTGACCAGGAAAAAGTAGAGGGGTGTGTGGAGTTTAGAACTGAAGGTGACAACTGCCACAATGAGGAAATTGCCACAGATTGCCACCATGTATAGGGAAAGAAAGAGGATTAACAAAAGAACCCTGTTCTGTGGCCTTTCTGAGAAGCCCCACAGAATGAATTCTGTCACCAGTGTCTGATTACTCATGATTGTTTGATTCATCTTTCAACCAAATTTCCTATTTAAGGCTTTTTCTTGCTCCATTGTTTGACTACACAGTACAAGTTCATATGTATTGGTCAATATATATGCAACAATACCATCATTAAATTTTCCAATTTCTGTAGGCCTTATATCCCTTTTGCTTAAAACAATCATTGCTCTGGGGTCAGTAAGCTCTATGCTGTCCTGGGGCATTTAAGAACTGAAGATATGTTTGGAATTTCATCTCCCCTAATTCTTTATTTTAAATTTTCATCCCAAATTAAAATCATTTTTAAAGTTTTATGCACATTTCTTATAACCATATAAAAGTTTAAACAATATAGACTTTTGTAACAAGAAGAGAAGATGCCCTCCAACTTCCAAGTCAATGGACATTCTTTCTGGATGTCATTGGTTGCATATTACAATGCATGCTCTTTATTTTGGTTCATCCATTATATCTCTTGGAGGTATCTTCAGGACAGCAACAAATTAATTATCTTCTAGCCTCTTAAACAAATGGTGCTGGGAAACCTAATTATCCATATGCAGAAGAATGAATCATGATCCGTATTTTTCAATATGGGCTAAAATCCAATCAAAATAGATCAAGGACCTAAATGTTAAAACATAAAAACTAAATCATTGGAAGATAAAATGCTTGAAGATATAAGCATAAGCAAGGATTTTTAATTTATTTTAATTTATTTTTTATCAGAATCATAATTGCATAAGAAATAACACCAACAATCAACAATGGAATTATATTAAATTTAAAAACTTTTGCACAACATAAGAAATAACCAAAAGAGTGAAGAGAGAACTTACAGAATGGGAAAAACATTTTCCTGCTGTTCCTCAGACAGAAGACTGATATCTAGAATATATAAATAAATAAAAATATTAGACACCCAAAATAAAAGATGCAATCAAAAATAGACAATTGAAATGAATAGACTCTTCTCAAAAGAAAAAGTACAGATGTCTAATATATACATGAAAAAATGTTTGATGTCTTTGCCCATTAAAATGCAAATCAAAACAACATTAAATTACATCTTACATCAGAAAGAATGGTTCCCATGAAGAACTCAAACAAACAAAGAAAAAACAGCAATAAACAAATGCTGTGAAGGTTGTGGTGGGAAAGGGACCCTTATATATTGTTGGTGATAAGGTCAAGTAGTATAACCACTATGGACATCGGTATGGAGATTTCTCAAAAAGCTATAAATCATTTGATCTAGCTATATCTCTTCTACCTACCTTCCAAAAAGTGTTAAAAACATCATGTTGCAGTAATACATACAGACCCATGTGTATAGCATGACTCATAAAAGCTAAATGTTGAAAGTGGCCTCTGTGTCCATCTATAGAGGAGTGGATAAAGAAAATATGGTTCACATATACAAATACTCGTCACATGTAAAAAAGGATACATTTGAGTCATTTGTAGGAAAATGGAGCCACCTTGAGACCATAATGCTAAGTGAAGTAAACCAGACACAGAAGATTAACTATTTCATGGTTTCTCATTTATGGGAACTCCAAAGTGTAAATAATTTAAGGAGCAAAATGAAAGATAGATGATAGGAAACAGGGAGGCAGACTCTGTGGAAATGGAAACCAAAAGGGTTAAGATGTGATATGTATAACTATCAATTTTCCAAGATGAATGTATTCATTATCCATTGTACCTATATATTTTAAAAAGAGAATCCATTGTCTTCTATACATGGTTACACAATTTTCCATTGGAAATGGACAGGAGGTTTTCAACCCTGACAGTCTTGTGCTGCTCCCACACCTTGTCTGGTTCCACTAGCGACCCGGGAGACTAACTCTTGGAATTCTTCATTCACAGAGCCTCATCTTCATCAGCCAGTCTTCCCAAGCATGGCCTGGGCACTGACATCAGGGCCTCCTTCTCTGTTGATTCTGTATTGGTCAACATCATGACCAAAGAGATCCCCACTGTTTTGGTTTCTGAGGCACTACATTTATTTTTCTCACATACTCTTCTAAGATTAGTCTGGGAAGACAATAGTGAAGAAACAAAACTAATGAACCCTAGGTCCCCTAGAACTGTTTGTGAATTCAATTCAAAGTACTTTGTCTCCTTTATTTTCTTCCATTCCTAGAACTAAAACCCTATACAATTAGTGAATCTTTAAGTCATTATCTGTAGCTCTCCTGCTTCCTCACTTACAGTCTTCCTTAATGCTAACATTTTAACCTTACCTTTCCTAGGAATTTCCAGACTACAGCCTTGGTACTAAGTCCAGAGCTATTGTATCCAGCCTGTGTTTTCCTGTGCCTGGTTCTATCCTGTATGCTCTTGCACTTATTATGATGTACTTTTTTCCTTCAATGCCTCATTACACTACAGACTTCACAGAGGATGACCATGATCATCCAGGTCCCTGGGCACATTCAGCATCAGTGCCAAACAGGATCAGAACCATTGGCAGTATCACACCTCTTCTCCAGCACCAGCTTGATAGTAATGCCCTGCATCCTGTGCACTTAGGACATTTGCTCTTCTTCGGTAGTCCATAGTTAACCTGTCTCTTTTGGTAACAATTGGAATATACCTTCTCTGGTCTGGGGACATCTCAAAAGTAAAGAGATAATTTTGGGTGCATATTTGGTGATTGGATATTGTTTTCTGTGGTCTTTAACATAGCCATTTTTCTCTCTTCTTTCTTGATATTTTGAGACCTCTGAAAGCCAGTTCTAAATCAATGTGTGTCTCCTGAAGTATGAGTGTCAGTGGATAAGTTTTCACATCAATCACAAGTTTAGGTGCAATGCAAATTAGAAAAAAGAACAAAATCTGGAGCACCCAATTAGCATCACTACACACATGGTACTTAGAATATGAAAGTCACAGTCACTCAAGCAGCTCTTGCATTGCAGATGAGCCTGCTGTGTCTCACAGGGAGGTCATTTCTATGAGCACAGAATCCTGCCACTACAGGGACATGGCTATGCTCCAAACCTGTCGTGTTTTCAACATGACTTTTAAACAACTAACTCAGTAGCTTCTACATCCATAATAGGTAAAGAACTGCCTTGAATCCACATTCCTGAATATCTTCAGGACATTCTACATGTTGGAGAAATTGAAGCCATGAAAATATTGGCCAGAGAATGGCAGGCAAGTCTGGATCTGGTCCCAGAACCTCACCGTTCTTCTCTAACATCCTGAGTCAGAAACTTCTACAAGAAAAATGAAAAAGAAACCAAAGCAACCTTTGTGTTATCTGGTGAAGGCTAAACTATGTGAGGCTTCTCTTCCTATCCAACAAAGCAGAGACTTTGTTTCCATTTTTTCCTTTTCTCATATTTTTTCCTTTCCCCCACCCCTTCCAATTCCCCTTCCCCTTTAGACCTTTTCTTCCTATTTAGCATTATGGAGGTGTGGAGGTGTTGAAGGGAGGGCAGGAGAATGGGGAAAAAATGAGAACCAAGATATGTTATGTAAAGATACAAATTCTCAATGAGGAATGTCATTATATTGTATACCTAAAATGTATCAATAAACTTAATGAATTAAAAAAGCAGAATTTCAGGCCACATTCATTTCTGGTCTATTCCATACCCAAAACAACACTTCAAGACATACCACCTCCCAAAAACAGAGAAGCATGATACCAACAGCAGTGGGAAAAATCACCACAGAGGGTGGCATAGAAAGGGTGCTACCTACACCGTGCATCGAACACTCCTGTGTATAGAGGCACTATGAGTTAGTCAACAGATGCTACATTAGCAAGACTCGAGTTTTCCACCCAATTAATAGCACTTAGAAAAATGTTATGATAACTATTCTTATATCTTTGCCTATTGAGTCTTACTAATAATTCTTCTTAGTAATCACCATCTCTGAATTCTTTTTGCTATTTGTAGAAGACATTGTCAAATAGATATCTAAAGTATAAAATGGCGGTTGGTTGGGAGACTAAAGTGATTTCCTAAAGTGATTTCCCTGAAATGTATATAAAAAATAAAGTGAAAGAATTCAGAGAAAATAATTTAGATAGCATCACCACTTGAAGCACTCTGAACCTGGGAAGACAGATAACCAAAGCCCCTTTTTCAATTGTTGTATCTTAGAACATTTAATCACAGAGGTGTAGGAACTCAAAGGAAAACACAATTCACAGCAACACTTTAGAAAAGAAGCCTTCACCTCATACTGGTGCGCAGGTACCTTAGGGTGGTCCTTCATGAGACTTCAGAGGACATTCTGACAACCAGACATCGGATCACATAGCCAGAGCAGGCAGTTTTCTCACAGGAGCTGGTCATAGGTATTCAATTAAATACCACAATACTACACACACACACACACACACACACACACACACACACACTATACGTTTGTGTTGTTGACCCCTGAGGAAACACACGAAGCATTAATACAATTTTTTCAGTGCTATGAGCAAGACAGTTTGGCAGAAGCCTTCTTTGGAATTGGTATAGGGAGATATGGGGAGCCCTGTGGCAGCCTCCCAACTGGGTCAACAGAACAGGAGCTTGAAACTGCAAAGAACATACAGGGAAACACAGAAAACTCACTGAGATTGTGGGTTGATTGGGACCACCTGGGAGGACTAGATATGTCTTTTGAAGGTTAAATGAGAAAATCAAGACTTGAAAGAGACATGCTTTCATGGATGTGTAAGTGCAGTTGTGACCAATTAAGTCCAATAACACACTTCTTTATCTGAAGGACAGTAAAAAGAAATGCTGTGTGTAACATCTTGTTTCATAATTTTAGATATGGAATATTTTACAAAGAAAAGAAAAAATTGGAAATAGCAATCTCATCAGATATAATTACTTCTGGACATTAACTTATAAGCTCTTATAGCTAAAGAGACACAAGAAAAATCATAATTGTATATATTCAATTTATCTCAATAGCAATGGAAATTGGAATTTGAGTTAATCTGAGATAATACAGAATTGTTCAATCTTACCTTTTTGGTATTATA